AGTACTTTTGGTACTTTATGATGCTAATACTTTTACTTAATATGATTTTGAATGCATTGACATTTATTTGTAACAATATTTTCTCACTACATTTTGTAGTAGCGTACTGGTAGTTCAGCTACATTCATATTTAGATAGTGATTCAAGTAGTTAAATTAAGTTTTTGTCATTTTTTGTGCAGTTCACTACTGAAACTACAAAGCTGCATTGTCACCTCACCAGTGAAATATGTATGGGTATATTGTTTTTTAATATTTTGAATCTGAATTTGAAAAACTGAACTTGAATATAGTAGGTAAGTCAAGTCAAGTATTTATTATGGCTATTTTTTAATAAATGTTCAGATAAGTTACATCTTGCTTAATGCAATACATCCACCTGGACTCTCTAAAAGACATGTGTCTGACTGATGGACATACGAAACCAAAGCTGACATTCCTGCACTTTCCAGTATATTGTTTCTCTTTCTGTTATTAATAATATAAATATTTTGTTAAAATCTTGTATTACATGTACATCATTTATAACAAAGTTGTTTGAACTACTTTTTTTATGTAGCTTTAATTAACCAAACTGTCTCCCTAGGGTAGCTTTGCTGTAGTTAAACATCTATCAATCTAACAAAAAAAAAAGAACAAAGGTAGCTTACAAAGCTTCAAAGTATCTTCCTCAAAACTGTGGACAAGCATCCCTGGTAAATATTCAATGTTGTACACTGGAGGCCTATTCCAATAAACTGTTTGTATCACAAGTCTCCTTGTGTTCTATCACCTATCAGTCAGTGAAGAGTAAAAACTCCATTTGGAAAGTTCCCATTTGGATGGTTTGACTCAACAATAAATTTTTGAAGACTGAAAGTCCGTTCAAACAAACCTTGCATATGTTGAGCTTTGCTCCCCTCAGCCATTTCCTTAACCTCAATTTGTTAAAGCTTAACATGTGTGACATTGCCGCATTGCTATGGGACCACGATATAAAAAACATTTGGGCCAGAAAGCAAATGCAGAAGCTTATGGCTCTAACAGACCAAGTGAGTCTAATATAGGAACTCTTGTAGTGATGGGAATTGAGCTGATGACACAGCCCATGACAAATGAAACAGAGTTTCAGAGTCTGCGACGGGAACAAGACTGATCAGCTCGAAGCCCAGAAGCAAGACGGTCTCTCTACAGCCTGGTAGAGACGTTGGAAGATAATTTGCGGTGCCTTTACAATAACAAGTCAGACATGAATGAGCGGCCCTTTCAGCCGTAATTCTCCACTCACTGCAGACTATAGCCCCGATCCGTTTCCCAGTGTGGATTTAACAAGACTAACAGCAATGCAAGAAGCCCTGTGAGGCTGGAACACTCATTACACAGCCCAAAAGTTGTTGAAATATGTCTGGATGATGCCGGAATGAAATTAGAGACAAACAGATAATGTTGCTATTCACACACTGAGGGGTACAAATGTAAATGATGGCCTGAAGGCTCACTATAAAAATGCTTGTCTATTTTTACATTTGCCATTTTAGGACATCTAACCTCAGCTTGTCAGGTTCAGCTCTACATTGTCCTTCCTCTCCGGGGGTTTAATGCCATTCTTATGATGAGGAACAGTTTGAATCGATTCTCTGAGAACAGACAGAAGAAAGCCATTTTTAACTCACTTTAAACAGTGTTAACTACTAACACTGCACATGTACAGCCACTAACAAACCACAAAGCTACCAAAGGACATAATTTCATTTTTAGACCAAACTTGCAGATCATTAATCCACACAAACTCCTGAGATTCCTCCCCATGAGGCCTGTTTGCTGCTTTCATCAGAAAGGATTTATTACAGGTGAGATATTGCTCACAGACGCTCCACCCACACAGGAAACAATCTAGGTCAGGTGAAGGAAGCGGCCGTGAGCTGTACTTAGGCTTTATCAGAAGTTAAAGAAGAAAAATGTTCTCTGTCAGTGTTTTATCAATACATATGTTTTTGGATTAATTGGTGCATTGATGTGTATGTTGTATTTTACCGCTGTGGATGTTTAAGGTTGAGCTAATTTGAACTACTTTGTTTGCTGTTGGGTAGTTTAATCTGCAGCCGAGCATCATATTCTGCAAGATCATCATGGCTGTCCTATGAGAAACACGTAGCTCTAAAACGTGTTCAAGTGCTCAGGAAAACAGCCCTCTTTTCAGCTTTGTGACAGCGCAAGTTGTGATGCATTTATGGTGAAAACAGCTTTGTCAGAGTTAGGATTAGCACCTTAGAGTGCATTTTACCATGCTTTTATCTACCCTAGGGATTGTTGTGATGGTTTATGTAGCATTACAAACATGAAAATCTTAATTAACTTTTAAACAGATCTCCTACCACCAAGGTAAAGATGGCTAAAAAAACACTAAAATCGACATTACAAGCTGCTGTTTATATCCAGAATCTTCGTTGCAGTTACTTTGTGGCATTGTTTTTTAAAAATCCTGTATTCTGGCGCCCGGTTAGCTCAGTCAGTAGAGCTGGCGACCCATGTACGGAGTTGCTGCAGCGGCCCAGGGTTCGAATCTGACCT